ATATATATATATATATATATATATATATATATATATATATATATATATATATATATATATATATATATATATATATATATATATATATATATATATATATATATATAAGGCACTGTTCTCGAACGATAGTGAAAAGCTCACCATTGTTCTGGAAGGATAGTGAAAAGACACGTTCACAAATTCAACTCGCCCCGTCAACTTCTGCAACTTCAATCCTGTAATGTATTCGATTTTATATCCAAATCAATGAAGTGAAGCTATAACAATCCAACAATAAACAATCGAGAATATATAGCCCGATTTTTTTTATTTTTTTTTTGAACTGACTAGAGGATTCTCGTGCTACTAGTAAATACTAAAAAAATCGGAAAAAAATCGAAAAAAAAAAGTGCATGCCTTTTGCAGTGAACTGATCGCTGGGCGAAAGATCGATCAAATGGAAGACTTTTTCACTAGCTCCTATAGATTGCATCAAATTCGATAAATTATCTCCGACCCACCAAGTTGAATAGATTAGCCATTCGCTATACAAAATAAATTTCGTAAGCTGCTCGGCTGTTATTTGACCGCTCAGAATCGACATTCCCCCTATCAGCACCGCAATAACCTATAAAAAATAAATCGGCAGTTAGATATTTAAAAAAAAAAAAAATTAGATTTTCTCAAGATTTTGAACCTGAGTCGAGTGATACAGAGTGTTGAAGCCGAAGTTCCAGAAACCGTAAGCAGCACTTTGTCGTAAGCTTATGCCAGCTAATTTGTCCAGCCATTGCTTATACCTATTTACCAAGAGAATTAAAATATATTCGGAAACGGTTACGATTTTTGTGCTACCGTCAAAGAAATATAACTAGTTCAAGTACATCTTGAAAAATAACACGAGTTGAATTTTTTACCGTCCAAGTTCGAGTTTTTCTGTCCCGTATACACGAACAGTTCTCATCAAAGAGAACGTCTCTTGTGCAACCTATACAGCAAAGAGAAAGTCTTGTAATATGAGAAAATCAATTAACTGAATAATTATAAATCAAGGGTAAATTACGGCCACCCCTGAGGTAAGGTCGAATTACGAAAAATCCCTCATGTTTGGGTAATTACAACCACCACCCTCAACTATGAATCTTCTTACACATCCACCCTTGCGGTGTCAAATTTAGTGGAATCTTCTAGATTATGTGGAATATTCTCCAGTTTGTACCCGTTTTACCCCATTCGAGCTCCACATTTTGAAACAAGATGATCATAAGATGTCTCTATCGGCTTGTAAATATCAGATTGTGGTGCATCAGAAACTGCATTTTTGCACAAAACGAGTACAAACTAGAGAACATTCCACGGAATTTAAAGATTATGTTGAATTTGACACCATAAGGGTGGACGTGTACGAAGATTCATAGTTAAAGGGGTGGTTGTAATTACCCAAATATGAGGGATTTTTTCGTAATTTGACATTACCTCAGTGTGGCTGTAATTTACCCTATAAATCAATGTAATAAGAAAGATTCAAGATTTACTTCGTTAGCAGAAGCAGTGAATTCTTGAGTCAACTTGGCAGATTTCTTTTGATACCTACACAACACATGCAAGATGATTAACCGACAAAAAAAATATCGAATATACGACGGAAATAAAGAAGAAAGAGAATCGTACTGTCCGTATATCAGCATAATGGCAGAGAGAGAGATGCAAATGACCAATACGCAAAGTCCAAGTGGCAACGACAAAAACAGCAAGTAAGCCAATGCACCTGTTCCCTACATGGTTTTCGTAATGAGATTCTCAGTTTTCAAACCGTAACTATAAAATGCGTCTTATTTTACGTGTAAAAATTAACAGGCGTACCTGAAGAACATTGCGCATTATCAGGTTTAGGTCGTTTCCTATCACACGCGAGACTTGCTGACAATCTGAACCGAGCCTACTCGTCAAACCGCCAACTGTTTCCGAGTCAAAAAACGATATGTCCTACAAAGAATATATTCACCGTACAAATTTAGCATCATGTGGTGCAAAATAAAATGCGTAAAATTATTTGAGAGACGAAAAAAAAAAAGAAAAGGTATAAGAATCGGTTAACCTGAAGAAGAAGAGTCGAGTATAATTTTTCCCTCAGTCGCTTGACCTAATAAACAAGATTAAACTATGTAACCAATATAAACACGTATTACTAGTGTGTGTGTGTGTGTGTGTGTGTGTGTGAGAGAGAGAGAGAGAGAGAGAACTCACGAGGATCATATTTGCTACCCCAAACAAGCAACCTCGAATGCCACTGAAAATTTTAGTACAGTGAGAGAATCAGTTTATACAGACATAAATTCTAGCGAATGCCGCAACTTTTACTTCACAAGAGCTAGTTAAGTTATTGGGGGCAATATTTTTAAAATAAACTAAACTCAAATTGCACGTTAAGAAGAAGGGAGTTACGACCGTACAAGATCTTAACCTGCATATTCCTGCAGTAATGCACAACAGAACCAAACGCCGTACATTCTGATGAAACAGGGGAATCGTACTACTTTGCGCAGAAAAGATTGATGCTGTCAGATAATGTGGAATCGATACCTCTGAAACCTGAGCCGTAAAAAAAACGCAATTCGGGATGAGATATTTTAAGCTAATGAAAGTAAGCAAGAAAGTCTAACTCGACAATTTTATGATTAACAGGTCAAGCGACAAAAGACTCGTTTGGGAATAAGGATATATAACTTGATAGACAATATAATCAAGGTGTATCAAATTTTTAAACGGGCTCGGAATTTTTATCAAGCATATGAAATGATAATGAGGCCAAACTCAACCCCCTAGTATTACATGATTCCTACGAAAGCTATTGATTGCGTAACTATAAATCTCAAAACATAAGATAATAACATATTATATCATCATGAACAATGCAATCCTATCCAACTCAATCAATCTTATCAATCCCATCGACATTCGCAAAACGAGTCCAAAGTCCAGTCAAAACAACAAGAATATTAACTACTTAACGAAAATAAATCATTCCAAATTCGAGTTCATTTTCAAAATCCAATACTGAAAAGGCAACTCAATCAATCTTATCAATCCCATCAACATTCACAAAAACGAGATCGTTGTCCAACAATGTCGAGTCAAAACAACAAGAATACTACTAACTACTTAACGAAACAAAATCATTCCAAATTCGAGTTCATTTTCAAAATCCAATACTCAAAATGCAAGTCAATCAATCTTATCAATCCCGTCAACATTCACAAAAACGAGATCGTTGTCCAACAATGTCGAGTCAAAACAACAAGGATACTAACTACTTAACGAAACAAAATCATTCCGAATTCGAGTGCATTTTCACAACGCAACACTCAAAAAAACAATAAATTAACTACTGAATTTTGTGTACATACAGCTGTGATGATGAGTGCAACAAAGGCGAAAAACACAACCCACCGATCCTCGGCCACCAACTCCCACATTTTCCTCAAAGCCCGAATAACCGTAACGGGCTTCGCGGAGAAGACGCTTTCGACCTCTTCGGTCGAAAGCCTCCACCACTCTCCGCCGGGGAATACTTGTCCCACGAACTTCACCCATTTCTTCAACTTCTCACTCAACTCTACTTTCGCGCTCTCCGCGGAAGCTCCGTCGTTCGAGCTGTTGATTAACGGGTGCCCATTAACTGAAGCTGAATTTAATGGAGGAATGCGATGGAATCTTTTGCTGGGGTGGGCGAAGAATTGAAGGCGGGGTTTTTCTTGATTGGAGTGGAGATTCACTAAAGAACGGATTTTTATGGGGAATTTTCTTTGCGCGGGTGGGAATGCAGAGAGGGGTTGGAGATTGCATAAACGGAGAGCCATTAATGAATTTCAGTTAGGAATCGGAAGATATGCATGATTTTGCTTAGTGAATTTCTGGGTAATGGAGAAAAAAAAAATGAGTTTGGATTTTGATTTTCCTGTAATTTTCTGGTGGATGTGATTGTTGTGTTGCGGCGGCACCACTCGTTCCACGTAGAGCCCAAAGGTAAAATTTAAATAACAAGGCAATTAAATTAGAAATCTCATATTAATTGATATATTTAAGTAGGATCCATTGATTTGATTGTCATTTTTCTTTTTTTTCTTTTTTTTTTTTTTCTTTTCTTATACATTAAATATTAACATTTTTCCACTCGTCTCGAGCCGTTGGAAGAATGTTAATTCATTGGGAGGCGCCACCTAGGGATGTGTTAAAAATAAATTTTGATGCTTCCCTTGGTTCAGATGAAAATAGTTGCGGTTTAGGTGGATTAGCAAGATCTTTCGACGGTAAATGTGTAGTTTGGTTCTCTTCTTGCTGCAATCAACGTCTAGACGCAACTACAGCAGAGGCAATGGCAGCACTCAGAGCGATGGAGTTCGCTCGCGATCATGATATGCATCGAGTTATTTTAGAAAGCGATTCCAGCACCATTGTCGCAGCTATCCAAGGTGAAGGAGGGTATTTTTTCAGCTTTGGTCACCTCATCGACGATATCAAAAGACTCTCATCCGTATTTAAAGACTTCAAAGTTTGCCATGTCAAAAAGGAAGGTAACCGTGCTGCCTACGAAATCGCAAAATTGTCCTTAAGATCAACTTTTACGGCTGATGTTTTTCCCAGATTTCATATCTAGCATTGTAATTTATGATTTTTCTCATTAATGCAATTATGAGTCTGTTTTTCTCAAAAAAAAAAAAAAACATATATATTAACATTTTTCAATAAACATGTGATGATATGGAAATCCAAATTGACAACATTTTAAAGCTTGATTGAAGCAAATTTATGTGAATTTTGAAACCATTTGAACTATTTAATATAGCTTTTATATATAAAAACGGTAAATAGAGACGAATCTTAAAATGAAATGCAAAATGTTAGTTAGTCCATATATGGTTTCCACCATTGCATTATTCCCGGTTTCAGAAGTTTAACATGCAGATCAGTTCCTATAGTACGTGAAAAATACTAAAATACCATTTACTTTATTTGGTTTTACTTATTTTATTTCTCAACTGCAACGTGTGTGTGTGTCGTTTGAGTTACACCATAAATCTTCATTAATGTCGAATTATTTTAACGAAAATGACGTGCAGTTGATATTTATATCCACAAGTTACAAAAGTTACGGTGGACACTAAGTTTGGTCCATCATTCTAGTCATTATAGGTTTTTACAGTGATTAATTAAGTTCTCCAATCAAGGTGCCAACTAAAAGCTTTTTAAATTCTAATACATTTTGTTTTTCAAAATTCTAAATTTCTAATTAATTGAAATTAACACTTCTACCAAATATATCCTTTCTATAGCTTGTTTCTTGAGATTATTATTATTATTATTATTATTATTATTATTATTATTATTATTATTATTATTATTATTATATATCGTGTGGAAATCAATCATAGCTACAATTGCCGCCACACGCCACGTCTCTCTTTTCATGTAGACAATATTACCCCTCAAAATCCCACTAAGCTCAACGCAGTTCCGCCTCACACCAAGCTAAAATCCCCAGACCCATTTCAGTCTTTTCATCTCCCACTTGCCAAAAAAATCTCACTGCATCTTTCTTCCCCAACAGAAATTCCTAAATCAACAACTGTAGCTCCAAAACAAAAACAAATAATCAAAAACCCTCAAATTTCATCTCTCTGTTTGAAGAATCCGACGCCATTTTTCCATGGCGGTAGTGCTCGGCAACGTTTCACCGTTCCTAGACCTCTCCACCTCGCCGCCTCGGCCCATAATTCCCGACCGCCGCCTCCGCCCCTTCCCCTCCGACGCGCTCCTGAACCTCTTCAACAAAGACCTCCACCAGAACCCTAATTTCCACGCGGCGTTCGAATCGGTGTTCGATAACCGGGAGAGGCACTCGAACAAGCGGAAATCGAACCAGTCGAAGGTGAACGGAGTGGAGTACGACAATTCCAGCGACGACGAGAACGGCGGCAGCGGGAGCGGGTTCGAGGATGAGCTCGGAGATGAAGCCGATGAATTCAACTGGGAGAAGGAGATGAGGAAGAGAGTGAAAGAAATTGAAGAAATGAGGGAGTTGGAGAAGAAAGCCGAAGAATTGCAGTACAAAGTCGATCAGGAGTTCGGCGGCGAGCCCGATGACGAAACTGAAGAACAGAAGCGCATGAGGGTTAAGAAAGAACTAGAAAAGGTTCGTTTGATTAGTAGTATTCCTGAATTTATTTATTTATTTTCCATAAACCTGGAATTACGAAATCGAAAATCTGAGGTTTTCTATATGAAAAGGGGGGAAAAATAAAGTAATAAGATTTATGTCATCTCATATCCGGTTCGATGAATCTCTTAGCAAGGTATGTGTTAATAGGTAGCAAAGGAGCAAGCAGAGCGAAGGAAAACCGCTCAATTGATGTTCGATTTGGGGCAGAAAGCATACGGTAGGGGTATGTACGGACGCGCCATTGAATTTCTCGAAGGTGCACTCACAATCATTCCCAGGCCGACCTTGTTCGGCGGTGAGGTCGGTGATTAATCGCCTCTACGGTTTTTGGATTAATAATCTACGATTGTTTTATTTCCTTTCACGTTTCGCAATTTAATACTTCCGATTATGTTCTTGTGAAACCAGATACAAATATGGCTGGCAATGGCTTACGAGGCTAGCAATCGACACGCGGACTGCATTGATCTTTATAAGCAATTGGAAAGGAAGCATCCCAGCGTCAGTATTCGAAGGCAAGCCTCGGAGCTGCGCTACATTCTGCAATCACCCAAGCTTAAGATATCGCAGGAAGAGATGGTCACCATCCCACTAATAGGTTCCAGTTATGATAGGTATGCTTATTTTACTTTTTAATATTTCCAGCAGTATATATTTCTCGTTTCCTTAATACAGCGCAAAAGATTAAAATAATAAATAATGAAATCATTTAGGTTTCACTAGTTTAATTGAGGTTATTCATGATCTCCTGTCAGAAATGAACTAGACAAACACTGATTGTGGGCTTGAACGAACATTAGCGCCAAAAGATACCTTTTCACTTTCTGTGAAGTGATTAACTTAAATTTCTGATGCAAAGAATTTGGTGCTTTGAGTGTAAATTACACGTTTCCATGTTATTGTCGGATTGAAATGACTGCCCATAGCTTCTTCCTTAACTTGCCCTTTTCTTGAAAAAGAGGGTTCCGATTCTTGTTAACGATTTCTGAAACAGGGAGATTTCGAGAAATTGTACTCGTTTTTTTTCAGTTATAACTGGATTTCCATATAGTCGATTTGGGGGTTTGCATCTGAAATCTCGTATTTGTAGGTACTTTAGTTATATGACCTTCGAAACCTCACATATATCTCAGATACCGCCCCACCCCAGCTTGAGACAGTAGTGTTTATACACCTTGTTATGTTACCGTTAGCCAAACCAGGATTTTGTTTTTGAGACGCGGTGGGGGGGGCATGGCCCCCCATGGCCCTCCGTTCTGGTGTTCGAGTTCACATGAATTTGATCGGTTTTTAGTCTCTAGATCAGTAGTTTGCTTTTCATGATTGAGAAATAACCGGAAAGTTCGATAAGTGACTGGTGCATTGTTCTTATAATCAGTTACGCAGCTACTTGGACGGATAAAAACAAGGACAAAGACGAAAGGATGAGCGGCTCCACGACGAATCAGCTGACATCATCAAAAGACTATTTGGGGGATTTTCTGGTGTGGAAACCGCCCGTCGGAATGGAGAAGAATCGAACATTCTGGGTTTCTCTAACTTTGTGGATGGGTCTCGTCGGAGCTGCTCTCTTACTGCAGAGATGAAGCTCACATTTGTACAGATGTCATTTTAGAGCTGGTATTGTTAGTTTGCTGCAATTCTATTACAGTTTGGTGTCTCCATATATGTATGCATGATTGCTGTTGTACTTGTACCATATTTCCACTAATGAAATATATTTGTTGTCTATTAATGAGCATATGTTTATCAAATGTCCGAAAATGCCATATACATATATATACATACAAACTATGGGCGAAAATCAGAATAAAATTATTTTTTGAATATTCGATCCAAATTTCCAATTTTGGAATTAAAAAAAAAATTATTCTGAATTTCAAGAATTCTGATTTTCAATTTTTTCGGAAGTTTTATTTTATTGAAATTATATAATATATGAGATTTAGATCTCCAAATAGTACAACTATAATATAATAACATTTTTTTTGATTTTTTGTCCGAATTTTCAATTTTGCTACAAAATTTTCATTCGAATTAAAAAAAAAAGATTTTCAATTAATTTCTTATTGGAATTGGAATTACTTTATTTCCATTTTTCTCGAAAGTGTTAATTCATATTCGTTCCGCCCCTTAGTACAAACGCAGAGGCACACAAGCTAATTTTAAAATCTCCACAATGAATATTAATGAGATCAATTAATATATTTTAGGAAATATACTTGATTTTTTTTTTTTTAGAGGAGAAATAAAGTTTATTCATTTAGCGATAAATGCTTTTTTTTATTATTAATTTGTGGTAAATAAATGAATAATTTCTTAAGAACAATTCGAATTAAATGGTTGTACTAGGTCAACAATACTCGGCCCCATCTAAAAACACACTGAATGAAAGCCCATACATTTCAAGGCTTAAAAAAGCCCATTACCCCTCAAGAAACCCTAGACATGTGAATTTACATCTTCACCCTCAGCACACAAGCGATACATCACACCCACACGAAGGTCAAATTCGTAATTCCATCTCTACCCATCCGATCCCCAAATCTTCAGCCTCAAATACAAAAACCCTAGTCCCATTTCTCCATCTCTCATCGCCTCCGTTGCGCCGCCGATCCACACACACACACAGTAAGCAGCAATGACGACCCGCCTGAGGAAGAACAGGAAGAAGAGAGGCCACGTCAGCGCCGGACACGGCCGTATCGGAAAGCACCGCAAGCATCCCGGAGGCAGAGGAAACGCCGGAGGCATGCACCACCACCGCATCCTCTTCGACAAGTACCATCCCGGATACTTCGGGAAGGTCGGTATGCGCTACTTCCACAAGCTCCGAAACCAGTTCCACTGCCCCATTGTCAACATCGAGAAGCTCTGGTCGATGATTCCACAGGATGTCAGGGACAAGGCGACAAAGGACAACGCGCCGATGATCGACGTCACCCAGTTCGGATACTTCAAGGTTCTGGGCAAGGGACTCCTGCCGGAGAACAAGCCGTTGGTCGTGAAGGCGAAGCTCGTCTCCAAGGTCGCCGAGAAGAAGATCAAGGAAGCCGGAGGTGCTGTTGTTCTTACTGCTTAGAATTTCCTGCATTTCTGTTTTTTTCTTTTTTAAAAAGATGAGATTTTTAGATACAGTTTTATGAGTTTTTTTTTTGTTTCCCGAACGTGATGCTGTTATATTTTAATTTCAGTTTATGCAGATTTTGCTTATGCTTAGATTCTTTTGCATTTATGTTTTTCATTCTGATTGTTGCTGCTATGTTTTCACAAATGTGCATGCTAGGTGTTTGTGAAATTGTCTCTGTGGCAGTCTGAAAAATTCGCATAATGCGTAATGGTATTTGGATGGCTTGTTAGACATCTTGAAATAATCGAAAGCTTCTGCACTAGAAATCGAGTAATCTGTGCATTGGTATAAACGTATGTGATTATGTGCAATTTTTTGAATTACTTTACTCAAGTTTTACACATGATGAATATGCGTATTATTTCAGTCAAATTTTATCAAAAAAAAGGTAGTCGTATGTTCGTTGAGGCTTTAGCATCTTACAGCCTCGTGTACATTGGCATTGGCGATTTGCTTATCGCATATTCAAATGGATGTATGTTGAAATATGTTTGTGTGTAGCATATGACTCTATGCAAAATTCAGTGAGTTCGAATTTTATCCGTCGTATTGTACGTGTATATTGGTTTATTTATCCTATGTGATTAGCTGTGGATTTTAACGTAAATTTGTTGATTTACTCAATGTTGCACCCGATATATATAAATGAGTCAATATGTTAATGTACATTCAAACGCCTTACGCAGCAATATATTTATGTGCCCGGTTATGTTTAGCTGCAAAGACCAGAATATATTTTTGTGCTGTTTATGTGTGTAACAACTGCTGTTAATTATTTGCTTCGTACATATATTCAGATGTTTGCGTGTGATTGTTTGCAGTGGAAATGAACGAAACATAAAATGATAGAACTAATTTCTGTGAATGTGAATGTTATCGGATTAGATCTGACTGTACATGTCTCCGTGAATTTTTATCGGGTATAGATAAGAGTATATATTTAAATAAATATGTTTATTACTTTATACACATTGCTTTATACGGCGAAGTAACTAGTTTCATCATTTAGTGATATGATATCCAATCGTAGTGTAGATTATTATGTTCGTTGATGTGTGATGTGATTATGTGCAGTTTTACGATAATGTATTCATCTAACATCTGCAAATCTAAGTGTGTGATTTGAGTGATGATAATTAATTATGTCTATAATTTATTATCTCTATCCAGATCATAATAATTCTTCTATTGGAATCAAATTCGTCAACCAAAATTTCTTAAAAAGATCCCCAGAAATCGAAATCCCCTTAATTCTGGGGTTTTTCTCGTGTTTTTTTTCTTTTTCTAAAATTTTATTTCTCGATATCTTGTTCTTTATCGTCGCCTCCCCACATCTTGATCCTTTGAGCCGCCACAGAAGCCTAAAAATCCCAAAAATACATTTGACAAACAGAGAAAGAAAATCGAAAACTTCGAAAAAGATAAATAAAAAATAAAATAAAATAAAATCAATGTTGTTTATAAATGCATACATACCTCTTGCTGCCAATTAGTTCTATAAACAATGTAAAAGAGGATTACTGTTTGCACAAGTGTTCCTGTTACCATTCCATACCATATACCCTGCAAATCACATTCAAATTTTCAATTTCTTTTTAATTTTTTTTTTGTCATTTCAAAAATTTATCTATATATTTAATTATATATATATATATACATACACACTTACTTTGACACCCATGTCAAGTGAATATCCCAATATTAGACCCAAAGGAATGCCAAAAATATAGTAGCATGCAATATTAACATAGGCAACCAAAGCTTGCCATCCAGCTCCAATAGCAACTCCTGCTCAATCATTCATCCCGAAATCGAAATTTATTTTTACGTATAGAGATAATTGATGTAACTATCGAGATAAAGATCCTATTTTCGGAGTTACCCGAAAGAGAAGGTTGAACGTTGTTGACCACGATACAGAATGCGAGCAAAGGTGTGAGCTGATAAACAACTTCTTTCACCGCCGAACTGTCGGAAAATAAAGATGGATATTGTTTTTGGAAGACGAGAAGAATTGTTGTGATTAAAAGGCCGATTGCGAATGAAGAAACGACCACCACTAGTACGGAAAACTTCGCCGTTCTTGGATGGTCTGCCCCTAATTCGTTAGAAACTCTTACACTGCACCACGGTGAATCGAGTTAAATACATAAATTATACAGTAGAACCTCAATAAATAACATCGCTTAAATAATATTTTTTTCTCGTCCCGACTCGGTAAAAACATACTAAATTATTAGTTCGATAATTTAATATTTCGCTAAATTAATAGAGAGATATCGATATATATATATATATATAGAGTTAATCGATGGAGATATAGAGATATAGGTGCGATTTTCGGAGGAGAGAGAAAGAGACGGTTGCGCGCGCTCGAGCGCGAGAGAGAATGCGTGCGAGGGTGTGAGCTGTTTCTCTCCTTCTCTCTCTGTCGAAATATAGAGAGATAGAGTTTGTTATTGTGGCGGGAAGACGAGGAGTGTTGGAGTGAGCGAGAGCGAGAGAGCGAACGCACCACCGTCCCACACTAGTTCGGATTTTTTTGGGGTTCTTGGTCGGTCTTTCCATAATTTCTTACACACTCTCCCTCGGTGACGCGATATATATAGATAAATTCATCAAGAATACAGCAAAATCTCATCTCATATAAATAATTTTTTTTTTTTTTTCTCTCTGGGAAAATACGTAAAAACATAATAAATAATTAATTAAATATTTTAATATTTAGATAAATTTTTGGTAGTCGGCTATTTATAATTTTATAGATTTATAGATGTTTTGTTTTATATATATATATATATATATATATATATATATATATATATATATATATATATATATATATATATATATATATATATAGAGAGAGAGAGAGAGAGAGAGAGAGAGAGAGAGAGAGAGAGAGAGAGAGAGAGTTTTAAATAATTGAATTTAGTTACCTTATTGCTGCATTGAATCCCATGGAAACCATGACCGTCCACCCAAGTATGTTTGTGCTACAAAAAATAAATAGTTCTAATCATGTTATATATAATTTTAAAATTAGCCTAATTGACTTTCTCTAAAAAGAAAAATAAATAAAAAAGAACAATTAATTATAAATCACTGTTGATGAAAAAATGAAAAAAAACCCCAAATAAAAACCATTTTTTTCCGTTGTCATGTATATTTATTTATGTATTTGGCGTTATCACTCAAACCATAGAAAATGATAAATTATAAAGCTTATTAAATGCTGGATCTATTTATAGAAAACTAGGCATTTGTAAAAAAAAGATAAGTATGAAGAGGTGTTTGCAGTTTTTTAAAGATTTATCGGACTTTTCAAATTGGAGTAGGGGGGGTAATTTAATTAATAAGCAATTTGACAAATATAAATTTTCTTAAATTATGACATTAACTACAATTTCTCTTACAAAATTCTAATTCGATGAATCAAATTTCCTAAGTACCGACCATAATTTTTGTTGCAGGTGTAAACAATTTAAATATTACCACCATACATATTTTTTAACCAATACACAGTTGACTAAATTTATTTTAAACAACTGATAAACACTTATATTTAATAAGCTGTTTTAAGAGCTGATAAGTTGTTACGTATTTATTAAGAACTACTTTTTATAAAAGCTCGCCAACGGCTTATCTTTTGCATTGTTTAGATTTTTTTTCAAAAAATAATCAAATACTTTGAAACAACTTACAAATATATCCTAAAAACTTATAAACTTTTTTTTAACCGCTTATAGCTTAATCAAACACTCTCTTAACAACGATATCAAACAACTACAAAATCGGATAGATGACGAAACGATCACGAATCGGGCAGCATGCGTTTAGAAGAGATAAGATAAGCTTTAAATGAGATGAGATTTTGACCGATGGAGGAAAAGTTTGAAACGGGGGGTTGGTATTACTATTTATTACTATTTATGGGCAAATATGTAAATAAATAGATTACCATATTGAGAGGGCATCCACTGCAATTTCTGCGTTCTTCAAATATCCAGCGAACAGGACCAGTGCCATAAAGTACCACGTTTCCAAGCTGTCCACACATTTAACACAATTAATTAAAGTCATCAATAAATATTAAATACATTTTAGGTGGAATTATTTTTCTTGAAAAAAAAACATTAATCTAATAAATAATTATTAATTATTGACTATGATTGATAGATGTCAATGCCTACCTTCCACGTTACACTGATTCAATTAATTGTTATTTTTTAGATTTTTAATATTAATATCAATTGCACTTTTTCCAACTTTTTGTATCACTCTTAATTATAGTAGCTTTTAATTAGTTGAAAGATGATTTAAAGGTGTAATATTATTTAGTGGCTTCATATATATTTCTCCTAAAATGGAGTATGTATCAATTTTTTAAAATAAATTTATGTGCATAGTCCAAAATGCAATTTTTTTTTGGTAAATGAGAATGTTTATGGAGTAATATATTATGCATGTATTATATTGTGCATCGAATTGTGGACACAGTCATTCGGTTGGTTTACATTTAATAAGGCACGTGGATTTAATTTAATAAGGCATGTGCTTTAAATATTTTTGGTAAGATGAAAAATCCTTTCAAAAATATTAATTACCATAATCACTTCATTCAGTTAGGTGGTGTTCACAAAAGTTTTTACAAATAAATTAGAATTTTTTTTTTCTCATAATTTATTTGAAGTGCTTGTAAAAAGAACTTTTGCTTTTGTTATTCTTAAAATAAACAACTTTAAACTATATTTCGTAAAACACGTATAATTCTATTTCTTTCAATTTAAGTTTATTTTTCAGTAAATTTGTAAACACATTCAACTTTAAAAAATATGCACTTAAATTACAATCCATAGTTTATGTTTTTAAGTAAGTTTCTGCAAACACCACCTAATTACCATAATCATAATTCAGTAAGATTCATTAGGCATTGAACATTAAGGTGGTGTTTGCAAATGATTATTTAAAAGCAAAAGTTAGTGATTGTGAGTTAAATCAATTTTAAGTGCTTATTTCTAAAAGTTGGGGGTGTTTGCAAATATTGCGGAAAACAAACTGAAATAGAAAAAACAAGATTATGAGTGCTTTTAAAAAAATAACTTAAAGTAGATTATTTTAAGAGAAGCAAATGCAAAAGTTGATTTTGCAAACACTTGAAAATAGACTATGAGTTTTCTATCTGTAATAACCAAAATTAATACATGAAAGATATTTTTACCAATAGTTTTTTATGTGACAAAAGATGCATGAAATCAATTAATACATTAAAAAGGGTAACTTATGAAAATCCCCCTAAACTTAAGATGAATAACGAAAAACACCTTAATCTATCTGTAATAACCAAATTTTCCTCTGATTAACTGTTTATCAAGTTTTTTAACAGAAAATGTGTACAACTTATTATACCTTATGTTAAATAGGTGAGGAATAAAAAAAAAATATATCTGAAATTGTGTAAAGTCTATTCCCTTGAAAAAAAAAAAAACCGTGAAAAATCACACTGTTAGAGTTGGTGTATGACGGAAACAAACTTCAAAAGGTTTTTAGGTAATTACTAGTAGGTGGATGAGTTTTTTGTTATTTAGCCTAAATTCATGGAGGTTTTCGTAATTTATCGTAAACTAAATAGTTAGATATTTTACTTACCACAGCATGACTGCTGACGCAAGCGATAACCTCACAAAACCCCATAGATTCTGAAACGCCCTCCACGAGAACCCCGTCCAAGCGCCGCCGCAGCTCCCGCTGAATATGTACACCAGCTGCGCCACCACTATGAACCACCACGACAGATTCAGAACCACCGCGCCGCCGGCCATCCCCCAGCCGAGCTTCAGCATCAGCAGCCAGCTGAACGCCACGTGCAGCACGAGCGCCGCCGCGGCGATCCACGCCATGGCCATGATCCTGCTCTGCGCCTGCAGGAACTTGGCGATCGGAAAGTTGAGCGCGTAGGCGTAGAGCTGCGGGATCATCCACAGCGCGAACTTCCCGGCGGCGCGTGAGATGTCCTCCGTCTGCCCGATCAGCAGCAGGAACGGCGTCGCGAAGATGTACAGGAACATCAGCAGGAACGCCGTCGCGACGAGGATCACCCACGATCTCTGCATATACACGCCGAGCATCTCGATCTGCCCGGCGCCGTACGCCTGCCCGCACAGCGTTTCCAACGCGCTCCCCATTCCCAACTGTACGTTCATCATCAAAAAGCGTAACAAACTCCGAAAATTCAGTTTCCGTCACGTGACACACTTTTACACATACTCGCACGTGTTAATTTAGGATCTAAAAAAAAAAATTGGTACGAATTGGTATGATATAATTACTAAATTACCATGACGCCGAAAGATAAACCGGCGATGACGGAGTTCTCGATGGAGAAGGCGGCGAGGTCTAGGGTTCCGACGTGGCCGGCGAAGGTTTGGGTGATGGCGCCGAGGGAGTATTGGCAGATGGAGGTGAAGATGGCCGGTCCGGCCAAGTACCAGAGCTTCTTCGACTCTCTGGTGAACGCCTTGAAGAAGAGGCCGGCTCCGGTGATCGGAGGAATATCCTCGCCGTCGACGACGAAGGATGAAACGAAGGAATTCGTCGACCATCTCTGCGTTTGATATAATTGGTGTTCATCGTCCGCCGCCGCCGCCGGAAGAAGTGGCTGGTTCGAAGAGGTGTTTTCCATTGATATAGCAGCAGAGTAATTAATGATTCTTCTTTCTTCTTCTTCTTGTTGTTATTATGTGTTTGATTTATGATTTAATTAGTTGTGGTGAAGGAAGAAGGGCGTGTTTGGATTGTTGGGAATTTGTGTCTGGTTTTTAATTATTGTATTCATATGTAGAATAATAAATAATAAAATGAAGGGTAAATTACACACACCCCCCTGAGGTAAGCTTAAATAACTGTAAGGTCCCTGTGGTATCGATAATTACACTCAGCCCCCTGAAACGTAGTCAGAAACTCTAATGGGATAATGAATCGGATACGTTATTCCGATAGGGTTCTAACGGACTATTGGTTTCAGAAAGTGGTGAAGACAACAAAGAGCTATGGGGTGACATGACTCCCCGAACATTCCCGAACATTTCTTATACAAAGTACTATTTCGTAGGCGGATTCTGCCTCGCGATGCTGACTGCCGTCTGAAGAAAATTGGAAAAAACCTTTTTTTTTTTTTTTTTTCTTTTTTTTTTCTT